ATTAAGAGGAGTGTTCATATTAATATTGAAATTTGCATAAGCTTTTGTATAGGCTTTTTTTTAGTGTGAGTTTAAAATGACGCGGATGGTGTTTGAAAAAAAAAAAAAAAAGGGAATTAAATATGTAACACATTTTTGTTAAACCTTATTAAGGTTTGAATAGATTTTGAAGATTCAACACATTGAAATTACTATGAAAAAATTCATAATTTAAAGACTGACGAAGTTGAAGAAAGAAGAAAGCTTGATAAAAATCTTTAAAATTAAATAAATTTTAAAGTAAAGAAGTAAAGGTCAAAGTATAGTAAACATAATTCAAATAAAGATTGATTGATATCGATAATAATAAAGATTATCGTGAATTATCATGACATGATTGGTTGTGGTGGCTTAGATTTGTTACACCATAAAAGTTTAAATTTGAATTAGTTAAAATTTTAAGCATTACACAGGTTATGAATAAAATTTTAGGGTTTTATTTGAATAAACGAATGATTCAAATGAAAACAAATGGTTCAAATGAAAACAAATGGTTCAAATGAAAATAAATGTTTTGAATAAAAATTAATGGTACAAATGGTTTGAATGAAAACAAACTATTATTATTCAAATGAAAACGAATGGTTCGAATGAAAACAAATTATTATTATTCGAATGAAAACGAATGGTTCGAATGAAAACGAACTATTATTATTCGAATGAAAACGAATGGTTCGAATGAAAACGAGCTATTATTATTCGAATGAAAACGAATGGTTCGAATGAAAACGAACTATTATTATTCGAATGAAAACGAATGGTTCAAATGAAAACGAACTATTATAATTCGAATGAAAACGAATGGTTCAAATGAAAACGAACTATTATTATTCGAATGAAAACGAATGGTTCAAATGAAAACAAATCATTATTATTCGAATGAAAATGAATGATTCGAATGAAAATGAACTATTATTATTTGAATGAAAACGAATGTTTCAAATGAAAACGAACCATTATTATTCGAATGAAAACGAATGGTTCGAATGAAAACAAATCATTATTATTCGAATGAAAATGAATGGTTCTAATGAAAACAAATTATTCGAATTAGTATTAGTATTAGTATTAGTATTATGAATAATTTGAATAAGAATTTGTATTATGAATATAAACTCCAAACATAGTCAATCATTTAGTTGATTTAATTGATCATTTATTTGAATATTAATATATATTAATATTAGTTGATCAAAAAAATTTAGTCGATTATACTATTAGTTAGTTAACTAAGATAGTCGATGTCCAACCTCTAGGTTAATAAAATATGGCGAAACTATATTAAAATATTACTAGCAATTATAAAAATCAGCTATAGGCACTTTCAGCATTTCGGCACTTTCGGCACTTTCGGCACTTTCGGCACTTTCGGCACTTTCGGCATTTCGGCACTTTCGGCACTTTCGGCATTTCGGCGTTTCAGAACAATTTGCCGAAACTATTTCGGCAGTTTCGCATACGCCATTCTGCCGAAACTCCCTAGTTTCGGCAAGCAACCTTAGGAGCAGCGCAGTCAAATTAGCCTTGTGTACACGAGGAATACGTGAGAATGACTGTAAAGTGTTCAAGGCAGTGTGCGTGCTTCAACGTCTGCCAATTTCCGATAATCAAATGTTGCATATTTGAATTGTTTCAGTCATGCTGCCTTGACTTCTAATTATAATTAATATTATTGATTACAAAAAGCAAAGTACCAATCGTTCGTTGTTGATAAGGATCTTATATTTACCCAGCAAGATCTGCTCCGCGTTTTGATTTCCAATTAAAATATTTATAAATTAAAATAAAAATATCAATCAATACAAATAAAAATAGTACCACTGGTTAGTTATTAACACGTTTTCTTTAGGAGACCCAAACCAAACCAAACAACAACACTCACGTTTTGTCACCTTGGGCTTTGTCAAAAAATAAATTGTTTTTCCAAAAAAAAAAAAAAAAAACCAATTATGCAAAAAATTAAAAATGTCTGGTAGAGTGGACAGAAAAAGAAAACAAACCAATGATAAAGCTGATATCGCTGGGTAAGTGTTTTTAAGGATGGTGGTGGTTATCGCCTGCCACTCGTCGTTACTCTAGTTAATATATAAGAATATTGTCATCATTATATTCTTTTCTACTGATTTTAAAAAAATTTTTTTTATGGTGTATGTATACATAGCAGAACAAAAAATAAAGGTATCAAATTATCAAAGGAAATTGAGGAAATTGATGATGTTAAAGAAATTGATGATGCCAAGGAAATTGATGATGTCAAAGAATTTGATGATGCTGAGGATGATGTTGAGGAAATTGATGATGTTGAAGATGATGATGAGGAAATCAATGATGATGAGGAGGAATATGAAAATGGAGAAAAATATGAGGAAGAACGAAAAGAAAAGGCAAATATAAAACTTAAATTGTTGGATTATTTCTTTTATTAAACAAGAAATTCTTATTTGCATATTAACAAGGGAACTCTTATTTGTAGAAACAATATAAAAACCACAATCTCAGCTTCTCAAAAGCAGCATTTAAAAAAAATTGTAAGAGAGATTAGTCTAGGTATAAGACCTGGACTACGTTTCAGGAGTGATGCGTTGGATGAACTACAAAAAGTGTCTTTTCCTTTTTAACTAAATAATTGAATGATTTTTTATACTGGTAGACATTAATAATTTTTAAAACAGTTGATAGAAACGCGCTTGCGATACATGCTTAGGGATGCGTATGTATAAAGTTTAATATTAAAAAATTGGCAATTAAAAAAAACATTTATTAATCTTTTTTTTTGATCAATTATTATTTCAGAGGATTATCTGCAAAACACGCAGGAAGAGATATTATAAAGGTTGAAGACCTAATTTTTGCCAGTCACTTCCGTGAAAGGGTGACAATTGAGGTGTTAACAAGTTACAGTTAAGTTGGCCAAGAAAAAATCGTGGTATATAAATTATAAATAGTGTGATCAATAGTAACGAATGGAAAAAGAAGATCAGGCAATCAAATTAACAATTCCAATAACAATTTTTATTAATTTAGTTAATTAATTATTTGATTATTTATTTATTTAGATTAATTATTGATTATTTAATTAATTGATTATTTATTTAATTGATTGATTATTTTTTTATTTAATTGATTATTTATTGGTTTATTGCTTCGAAAAATTTTTGTTTACTCTGTTCATAATTAATTGCTTTAAACTTTTTCTATCATTATTTTTTTTTCGTTCTTCTATTTCATATATATAATAAGATAATGCACCAGAAAAAATCGATATTAAAAAATCGCCACGTCTATAAAAAATAAATTTAATATAAGAAAAAAGATTCATAGGTAGGATTCGATTGATTAATTAGTTGATTAAATAAATTTTACCTTGATATCAAATAAGTATAACGAGCTGGTGGTGGTGCTGGAATAATTGTCATATTGTAATTTTTTTAATGTGTAAAAAATATTTCATGTCACATGCAGTTCCTTATTATTATTATACAACTATCATTACCTTATATGCCACGATGAATTTCTGCGGCGAAAAATCAAAATCTGTTGGCGGTCATATATACCAAGAGTCTGCTTACTTCTGCTACGTTTAAAAAACATTATTTCTGCCTATTTCATTTGCAATCTTATAAAATATTATTTATTTAATCAAAAAAAAAAAAACCAAGTTAATCAAAAATAGTTTAATAATAATAATAATAATAATAAAAATTAACTAGAATTCATGATAATGAATTTCTGCGATGGAAAAAAAAAACTATTGAATAATTGGTAAATGTTCATTTTGTAAAGCTTGACAGGCCTGATAAATGAAATAAGTGAATAACGATTGCTAAATTT